GAACTTAGGATGTTGATGCTTAAAGCTTAATTTACATCTAATGCCATTCAGAGTTCTATAGAGTGTGAGTGAGTGCTGTCTGTAACTTGGAATCGGGTACTGCCACCTGCTGATCAAAAATCAAAGTGTACTTGTTTACTTACTGAATACACTTTTTAATACACTTTAAAATCCTTAATATTAAAAATTAAAGATTAGTTACTGAGTATAAATTCCTCTTGTATAAAAAGAGCTAGAAAAATACTTTGAGACTACTACTTATTATGCTATTTGCTGGAAATTCTCAGGTGTCTGTCTTTGTAAAATGCAACGAGAAGCTGTTATTTCACAACCGAACAACAGTAGGCCCTTGTTTCCTTATTTACCTTGGTACCCAGATGATCATTTACAATGCTCTTGAGGACTTAGGTCCTTATTTTTCAAATAAACAGACTATCTTGCAGCAAAGTGAATAACACTTTCTTAAACTGTTCATGCACAAGCACTGTTGACAGTGCTGTTGGAAAAATTTAATGATGAGGTATTTTTCTTCTCTCCTCATCCCCCCCCCCCCCCCCCCAAGGCTTTGGGAGTTTCCAGTCAAAATGACCGATCAACAATAAAGAAAAAAATTAAGGATATTAGAAAAACACAAGAAAAACTGGAAAAGCAGAAGGAAAAGGTTCAAAAGAAGGAGAGAGAAGTTCGCAAGACTGGCAGAGTGGTAGCCACTCTTGAGTCAAGCTGCTAAAATGACCCTGTTTTATTTTAGCACAGACGTGCTTCATCTTGAGGAAGCTCAGCAGATTTGTATATAATTGTACAATTGAGGGAGGAGGAAAAGTGCAACAGTTTAACATGGTAGGTGGTTTTTTTACTTTTTAATTATGGTCCCTCCCTATTGCAACCCAATAAAATGAAATAATGTTTTCAGTATTTTTATTCCTAGTTGACTCTGCCTGTACTAATAGACAATAATTTAACTTTCTGCCTTAAGTAATATTTGTGCTTCTAAGACCTCATATGCCCTTTTCATTGAAATTGATGTTTGTGAAAAGTAGAATACTGTATTAAAAATCATTCCAATATTAGTCAACTAGCATTTGATAGAGTTGAATCTGTTAGAGGGACAATAGAAAAATCCTGCCAACAAGTTCAGTCTGTGACAGTCTGTTTATCTGTTGCCACTAAAGATGTATAGTAAAAATTAAGTTTAAGAAAACGGTAATGTCAAATTAATTTAAAAAGAAAGCATGTATTTCACATTTATGGATTATTTTGTTTAAATTCTTGTATTTCTGGGATTTTCATTCAGAGTTCACTGTAGTAGCACATTGTTTTTGAATTCTATGTGTTGCAATTTACTGAGAAAATAACAAGAAATATTAAGTAGTTTCCACAAACTACATATACTAAGCATAATGTTTTCTGTACACTACCCATATGGTGTTGGGACAAGGTTTAAACCTATAAATAAGATCTTTTTTAAACTATTTTTCCTAAATAATACATAGTTTTATAGATTTATGCTATGAATAAGATCAATTTGCAATACATGTATTTCTCTTTTCTACCTGCTACAATATTTTTGCGGACCAAATTTATATATTTGCGAATTTTAAACTATACTGTTTTTCAAACTTAAAATACTGAGGGAAGAATTGTAGGAAAAATTATCACTGAAGCACTGGGTTTCTGCATTGTATTTAAATGTTCAATTGTAGACTACAGATTTTTTCTCTTTAAAGGAGGATTTGATTCTCAGAATAGTTTAGAACATGAATTGGTGTTTTGTATATTTACATACTATTTTCTAGAGATACTACAACAGCACTTCCTTTGATTAGATTATTCCAGAAACATAGACTAGTTTAAATATCAGTTCCACCATAGAATGGACTAGAACAAAACTTACATAATTCGTTTATGTGGACCAAGTTCTCCTTTAAATCTGTGGACTGGTTTTCATTTTAATTAAATGAACAGACTTCACTGTTGGTGTTTCACAGTTGTTATTTTTTTTGTATAAATGTCTTACGAATTTCAGCAAAAGGACTGTGTGGAAATGCTTCTGCACACTATGCATTTCCAAAATAAAGTTTGAAAATCTTGGTAATAATTACTTTTAAAAAGAGGTTGAATTTTCACTTTTGTGCATTAAGAAAAAATTATTTGGTCAAGGTTTAACTTATTTACTTTGTTTCCAGTAGCTTTGAGTTTGTACTTCAAACTTACAGACCTTCAGCCAGAGAGGAATGCTGCCCTACTGATAAAAAGAGAAGGGAATTAGAAGTATGGAATGATCGAATGCTTAGGATCACACACATAAAACCACCCTTTGATTAATTCAGTCAAGGAAGTTTATTGCTCAGTTAAGTGCTTTCACCTAGAACAGAGAATATTGATACAACCATGTATTACCTTTTTGCTTTAAGCCTACTGAACTGAATGTTGCACCCTGTGAAGAGTTTGTTTCCCAGGAAGGAGACTAGTGGAAATAATGGTTTCAAAGGTTTGCCTGTGTGCAGAGCTGTTGTAGTTAAATGGGGGCCATCGCAGGGATGATAAACTCACCTGGCACCTGAGCATAAGAACATTGATTATCACAGACCACAGCATTTAACATCTGTCAGATGCTAAACGAGAAGGCTGGCTCCACAGAACTAGCTTAGTACCAAGCCACAAAATCACCCAACTGAAAGTTTAATTTTTAAAATAGTTTTAATGAATAAATGTAGTGATTCTTTCAAAAAATTAAGTTAACACAAACCAAGATTAATTTTACAGTGCAAGACTGAGCTCATTCGCTTACAAAACTATTAACCTCAGCATTTTGATAGCTGAGCTAGTATACTAATTTTCTACAGTGATTCACTTCCAACTTAACCAGTGTGCTAGCAATGACTTCAGTACAGTAATGAAAATATTAAACACAAAAAATTATCTTCTGAACTTCTATTTAAATCAAAAGTAATCAAAGATCAAACTTGTAAGTAGGGTTAAACATTGCAAACCAAAAATATTACTACATTTGTGTTTTCACCACAATCATTCGGGGTGGTGGGTGAGGAGATAGATACAAATGTAATTACATGGCAAGTTGTTCTAATAATCAGAATTCAATCGGTAGCTAGCTGAGAGCATGAAAGAGGTTTTTATTTCAATAATACCATATGAAATACTTTAACAGACTTTCTAGGAAACAGTGTGTTAGCTTTTCTTCAGAAACATCTCTTGTAGTTCTCAGATATTACTAAAATCAGTTCAATTAAGTTAGTTAAGCATTTAAAACTTAGTGTAAAAGCTAGAATGTTCAGCTTCAGAGCTGAGTTTTTTAAAATCCCTTGCTGTAACTTTCAGCTTTAGTTTAGCAAAAGCAATAGTTGCAAGCATTCCCTCTAACTTTTGTACAAGCCCCATTTTACAGTATGTGAAATTTCTCACATACATCCTCTTGCAGGGTTGAAGAAGAGAACAGCTATAGATTCTCCTCACTTGTAGCCATGCAGATTGAAAGGTATGCCAGTCACCACCTCACATCCTTGTAAAGAAGAAAAATAGGGACCTCTGAAAGTGCCCACAAGCTTGAGTGGAGCAGGTAACTCTACTGTTCTGGTGGCAATTAAGCTCGAATAGTCCTCCCTCAGTGTCAGTTTAATGTTTATATATATAGCCCATTCTGTAAATCACTCCATTAAAGTGACCTACATTAGCTTGACCAGGATACAAAACCACTTTATTGTTTTGCAGAACTAGGCTAGGGAGGTAGCAGGTGATAATCTTTAATCTGGCTCAGCTACAGTTAGAATAGCATGACTTCAATTTCTAACATACCAGCTATTCCCTTCACTTGTGGTATCTCACCTTCTGCTCTGTGCAGAGCTAGTAAACTAGCAAAACTTAGGCTTATTCTTTCTGAGAGGGATTATGCATGTCTGCTGCAGAACAAAAATCACAGAATTACATGCAATGAATTAACTGAGAAAAGGATTAGTTCTCGGCGTTTTTAACTGCATCAACCCCTAAAATGTTCAGGAATGACAGGGATTGAGGTGCAACATAGATGTGTATGACTTGAACAAAGCTGGCACAATAGGCATTAAAAGAATTTGAATATTTTATTAAAAGAAGGACTTTGTACCTGAAATGGAATACTCATTCCCCTCTCTATCTTCGCCAGTATGTTTTGACAGTTTGCCTTTGACTGATAAACACATTCTGCTTACCTTATTTATGTTATAGTGTGACTTTCAGTTACTACATAAATGAGGCCAGAAGCACATCATAAATACAACGGTATTTTCAAAAACTGTTAATTCCACTTTTTCTTAAATACTCCTGAGAAGGTAGTTTCTATTGTCAAAGTAATCGAGATGCCCTATTAAGGGCAAATTTAAAAAATAGGTTTATTAAAATAGTTTCCATTTACAGCTGTAACCTGACATACCCCAGTCTGAGATCTTACTAGGGCTGGAACATTGATACTGCATTTTGGTATTACCTACAGAAATACAAGCAAATGCAAGACAGCATCTCTTTACCGTACACAAGCCAACACTATTTGCTAATTCACAATGATCATGGCAAGATAAGTTTTTCACATGTATTAAATATTCACATTACAACCAAAGAAATATGACTGATACCACATACCTGAGATAGATACATTATACCAGTGGTAGCAGCTAGAACTGATTTTTATTTTTTTTTTTAATCCCTACAGACCTAAGTGTGATTTCCACAGCTGCAAAAAACCTTGATGTAGGCAACATATCTAACTTTGCAAAATTAGCCTTCAGCATGCTTAAGATAAAAGAATAGAAAGTGCCATACAGGTGCAAAGGTATAGCAATGAGTTCCTCAATATTTCTTACATGAGTTTTTCATTAATCTGTAATACTGTATAATGGAAAAATGCTCTGTTGACCTTTTTTAATAGTTCTTCTACTAAAACAATTTTGTAATTATATTAATTAATACATTTCTCACCGGATGTGATACAAATTGCATTGGTCCCTATAAAACCTGAAATGACTGCTCCCTTGACTTAGCTACTGAAAGTAGTCATAAATAGAAAGTGGAACAAATGAAGTGTGACCTTCTCACTTAAAATTTAAAAGTATGAACAGGTTTGGGGTTTTTCTTGGTTTTGGGTGGTTGTTTTTTTTTTTTTAATTCCAGAAGAGAGTAATTACATTAAACCTTCTGTTACTCCACTTAAAATTACTTTCACATATCAAATGTGGCTCAGCATCTTGGTGTAAATCAGGTCTTTTAAATTCCCTTTACAGACATACCTACTTCTTATGAACTGTTGAGGAAAAAGCTATGTACTGCGAAACGTGGTCATGTCCTTTGGCTCGCTGCTTGGCACGCACCAATCATCTGCTTCATGGTTTGCTTTATAATGCTTCCAGGCTGCTTTGTTATATACAGGGAGTCTTTCAATTGATTCTGTTGATAAGGCCTGTAAGTAGAGAAGACTGTAGCTAACGATTCTTTTTAATCAAAGTTATAGTAACAGAACAAGGAGTTCCATTAGCAGTTAGATTAGAGTTGCTGATAAATTTAAAATGGTAAAGTGTTACATCATACCTTTATGTAAATAACTGCATCTGTACCATAGCCTTCTAAGGAATACAGTTTCAGGTCTCCTTGGAAGTACTGTGCATACAGACGTGATATGGGTAAGCCATAACCAAATCCAGCCTGATCCAGGAGAAAAAGTGTATTTATTTTCATTAATTGCATCAATCGTGTTCTGTTTTAACTTAATAGGTAAACAGATAAACTAAGCATGATGTTTGATAGTACGAGGAGGAGTTCAAATGTTAACTATTGTGCCCCCCAGAACTATTACACACCCCGGAAACGGAAGAATGCATGGATGATTGTGATTATGAGAAAATTGTTTTATTCCTCTGTCAGACAGGGCTGCTAGATAACACTTCTTGTATTATGGTAGCTTTTTCAAGAAGAGATGACACCATTAGAGAAAGCTGTACTGAGTTTGCCTTATGCCTCATGGAGCCGCTAGTCTTAGGAACACTTAAGAGTACTTAAGCCAGATACATTTCATCAGCAGCATATATAAAAAAGGTCCAAGAAGCAACGTCTATGAATTTGTAGCTTATACTGAAATTCTATCAAGCCCTGTCTGCAGTAGCAGGACACGGCCCTGAAGTGTTAAGTATAATTGTTTTTTATCTACTAAATTTTAGTGGCAATCTCCCAATGAACATACACAACACTTCTCTGTAAGAATCTAGTGTTTAATGAGTTGCAGTGTCATCTAGACGCAGAACACTATATACATTTAAAAAACACATTTTGAATGATGCAATGTGAGAGAATAAATTCAGGAAAGCTGTTCAGAGCTTCTTACTGAGAGCTAAGGCTTTATTTCTTGTGCATCTGTTAAGTTCACACGAGACCAAAGTAGATTCTTCATATGCCCTGTCACATCTGCGTACCTTCATCCTTGCTGGGAGATGGTACAACTGACTACACAGTACAAATGAAACTATGGACTTGATCCGAAATCACTGCTACGATTATTTTTCCTTTCATTCAGTGGCCACAACAAGAATTCAGAGTCCTGTCCTTACTGCAGTACATGCAGCATAGCTAAGTGTTCTGCTTGAGGTAGCTGATCTTTATATTTGGTAGAGAAAAACAGAATCTTGAACAAGTTTAAATAATTTTTAGTATTTTAGGATTTTATGCAATTTTCCAGCTATTTTCAGAAAAATATTTGAATTAAGGTATAACATTCAAATGGTGATACTCATTGTATCTATAAAATCAGTACTTCATAGCTTTGGCTAAATGGTTTCTTTTGTGACAATTAAACATATCCAAGATGACAAGGTATAACAGATTTGCATACCAAAGGTGTAGCTCGTGATGTCTCAACACGTGGACGTGGTGCTGTTGAATACATGTAGTTGAACAGTCTGTCAATTTTCCTCAAAGGAACACCTCCACCACGATCACTCATCTGGAACAAGAAGGAACATGTAGCATTATGTCCCTGAATACATTTTTATAAAAGACAGCTTCTCTTAAACAATGATCCAGAGAAAGTTCAGGTAAAACATAATATAAAGTTGTCCCTATTAAACTATGGGTTTTCTTAAATTCTCATCTCTCAGCTACAACAATGACCAGAGAGAGGTGAATCCTTCCCTTTCATCCCTTATCAAAACCATTTAAATAAAATAATGAGAAGCGTTCATAATCTCTTGGAAGCAAGAAAATTCTACTTAAATTGTGCATTGCTTTTATCTTGTTCATAACTCAATTTTGTCTGAAGTCAGTATCTATACCTTTTAGCAAATGCCAGGTTCTATGTATTTTTATCCTTATTACTCAGGAATACTGCCAGTTAAATACAATCTATTAAAACCTATTACTGAAGGAGTAAGTCAGAAGAGTTGTTTCACTACGGTTTAGTTAGACCTATGAAAAAGCCAGTGCTTGCAGTTGGTCCTTGAAATCCAACATGGCTGTTATACAGAAAAAGAGTAAATTACTCTGCAAACTGTACTTCAGTGAGGTTTGATTTGCATGGAATGTACAATGTTTATTTCCCTTTTTCAGTTGTTTCACACCTGTATAGCTCTGTCATTGTCACATACAAAATGCTGATGTTGCAATTGTATAAAGATGCTACTTCATTTTTAGTCATGGTTGCTTATAAGCTAGGCAAGACATGAGCATGACAAAAGCATAGAATTCTATTGCAGAGCCTTCAGTGTGACTGCGCAACCTCTTCATGAATTTCCTACTGATGCAGTATATGAAATTGCATAATGGCCTTGTTACCTACATACTACATCATCACATACAATCTATTGTAGGAACCAGATCACCAACTAAAGTTAGTAATATGCTACCTATGACAGGGGAAAAAAAAACCTAACCAAAATAACCTTCAAAATAATCAAAAAGTGGGTACCTTCACAGTTAAATCCTCATTTCCCAATGTGACGTGTACATGAATTGCAGGATAAATGCATCGATCAGCATTATGTTCCATGGTGGCTCTCATTGCATTCTGCAATTTTCAAGTACAACTTAAATCCTGTTCTTAACACTTTGTCTATTATCTTAAAACATCAATTTAGGAAAGTTATTTTTATCACATATTTCAGAATCAGGGCAAATGTATATGGTTTTAGAATAGTTTTTTTTAATATTTCTGGTTTATTCAGTATCAGTATTTATATATTTTTTTAGAACAAACTTCTGAATATTTTAATGTAGTTTTATTTGTAGAATTCTTTATAATGCATAGTACATGCAATATGACACAAAGATCAAGAAAAGTCTAGGACTGAACTGCTTAAGGAAAGCTCTATGGGACCTGTTACACATTATACCAGATTTGAAGATGTCCAAAAAATTGTATATCTTATTCTCACTTGCTTTATTAATTAATGTCTTTACACATGTTAAGATTTTTTGACGAAGGTGTCTACTCAGAAGGTGTCAGATATGTTCAGTGGCTAAGGCAAAGGAGATGATACATCTTCCAAAGCTGTCCAATTTCTATGCAGTTACTGTTTGTCTAAATAGTACAATTTAGGTATCCTCCTGCAGCCAAATAGTGAGAGGTTTGCACTTGCAAAAACACACTGCTATCTAGAATTGGTTCAAGAAGTCAAATAAATACAAACTCACTAAACAAAGATGTGTAAAAGAATTGTGTAATGGTAAGTGCACAGACCTTGAAAAGTTCGAAAACCATGTGATAGAGATGTGATGGCACATACACCACTTGCATGGGCTGTCCTGGTGATTTAGCTGGAGAAAAGAGAGTCTAAATAATTAAATAGCAAACTAGGTATCTTTTATTCATTCCCACAGTAATTCAAAGTGTATATTTGTATTGTTGAGAGAATTTACAGGAGAAGGAAAATTTGAACAGAAATCTTTTGAAAAGTTGTATGTTCATCAGAAGTCATAGGCAAGATTTTCAAATATGCTAGCTGCTTTAGAAATTAATCTTAAAACCCACTGTGGCACCACTGATTAGGGCATATAATAGTTGCTTTCTAATACCTATGAGGAGGTTATCATCAGGATACAGTCAGGCTCTTCAGGTGGTGGGAGAACACGAAACAGTGAGTGTAAGATGAAATAACAGAGGTTCAGACTGGATATAGAGAAAAGCTTTTTCACCAGGACAGTTAAGCATTGAAACAGGTTGCCCAGAGATGTTACGTAGTTGTCATCCTTGGAGGATTTTAAGACCAAACTAGATAAAGCCCTGAGCAACCTGGTCTGACCTCAGCTGTCCCTGCTTTGAGCAGGAAGTCAGGCTAGAAATCTCCTGAGGTCCCTCCCAACCTGAATTCTCTTATAGTCCTATAATGCACCAAATAGTCACTACAGCACAGTCTACTCTTGGATTCATTTAGAAATTAGCCGATTTCTAACAAGAAACCTTAACAAAAATTATACAGACAATTCTGTCTATAAAACTGCTATAGTTTTCAAACTTTTCTTAAAGAATAAATTCTAGAAAATATGTCATGGGAACATGTTCATTACATAAAAAATTAAGGAAACGTTGCTCAGAAAATTCTGCTGGCTCTTAAGGTTCTTTCAGTTCAACAAATAATTGGTAATTTCTCACCAGACTGTTAGTGACCAGTGCTTTATGAACGTAAATATTGAAGACTAGTGATGTCAAAAGATCTAGAACAAATTATGTACCCAGCAAAAATAAAAGGGGGATGGGAAATCACACTTTGAAATATGTCAGGTTCCTGTCCTCAAGTTAACCACTTCCCTCCATGCCTCCATCCCCAGATCCCATGCCTAAGGTTTAAATAATGGTCTCCACTCTCAGCTGTGGGCAAGGAATGTGCATTTGGCCTGGATCAGGTTTAACTCACCTTCACAATTCATTGAGCAAAATGTCACTCCTTTTATAAAAACTGAACCATTTGTTCTGGCTTCTGGAGCATATACACCATTAAATGACCCCTCAGTACAGAAAATTAGCTAGCGTGACTGATGATAGTTTCCTGCAAATGTTTTTTATATCATGCTCCAAAGATGGAGAGAGGTAAACCGTTTAACCTAGATACAGAATGACAGGTTTTGTACAGTAGGAAGAAAAGATCTGGAATGTGTAGTCAAGGCCACGCTTTCTTTGCCTTTAGCTTCATAGGCCAAGTTACTGTGGTTGCACTTTGGCTTTTGCAATTACTTGTAGAAGCAATTTTGATTGCTTGTTTTTGTAGGTCTGTTCGAACTTGGCGTTTAGTATCTTGAAAAGTACTCTAGTGAGTAGTGTCAGAAAGGCTCTTTA